GATTGGGGCAACGGGTAATGATTGGTTTCAGCTGGTTGTGGCAACGGGTAATGATTGGTTTCAGCTGGTCAGTTGTGATTAGGGATTAGCAAGCCACTAAGGCTGACTTAAGAAAGGCCCTAAAATCACCTTCTCCTTCAAAGGAGGAGAACAAGTCCAACGCCAGGGCCATGAGACGGAAGAGACGGCCGAAAAAAGACGTGCTCATTGACCCTCAGTCTCTAGAGAGAAGGAGATCGAACCACAAGAGCCTCAAGAGCTTCAAGGTTCATAGCACAACCAATGCAATCAAATACCAGAGACTTGAGGCAAGTTTTCTCTGGTGTAAAGCATGACACCCAATCCACCACCCCCTCATCGTCATCCTCAAAATCAATGTATATCAGATCTAGAGATCGGAAACACCTACATCTCTCTGCTATGGCGGCGGGGCCGGCGGTGGTGAATCCATCGCAGCAAAAAAGTGGCAGGTCCTGGAAGGAGGTTGTTAGGATCACAAGATCGACATTAGAAACAGCGATTCACTTGAGGTAGACTCTCTGGAGTGAGGGATAATATGGAACCCTGGCAGCAACAAGGTTGATGACGTGGTCGTTGCCGATGAAGAGCTTGAGCCGAGTCTGGGCCTCAACACAAAACCAAGACTTGCAGACGAGGGAAGCTGCTTTTCAATTGCGATGAGAGGTTATAAAGCACAACACATTGTCGGGGATGTCATTGAGGACTTGGTCGGAGAACGGCTGGCCGGCGACGGTAAAGGCAGGTCGAAATTGTGGTTGAGCAGTTCCGAATTAGTATTTATTGCATGCATAAATTTTATAAAGAAAACAGTATGACAATCAGTCTATTCCTCCATTAGTTATCAATATGTGTATATAAACCATTGGTTTCATCCATTCTGAATTTGTTCAAACCTCATTCTACGTGATCGTGAGTTCTATAAATACCGAATTTTGTTCATCATTTGGTTTATGCTAGAGTTTAAAACTGTTTGGTTTGTGTGAATCATTACATTGTGCAATTTGTTCCATCTTTATATTGATTACTACTTCTACAAGCATTAGCAGAAGATTAATATTTCTCTTTTGGACGAGTTGATTCAGGTGTGGCCATGTAGGACCTTAATGAATCCTGTTACCAATTCATATTGTGATTATTCATCATTGACACAGCTGGGATTTTGGTGGTGGCTTATCTTTCCACCCGCACCGATTGTTGGAAATGCCTTGTTTTACTTTCTTCTGGTTCTCTGGAAAGTATGAGGCATGTCTTTACCACTTTGTTTCAGGGATAAAATTCATACTTTTGGCTAGCTAAGTTGTCCCTAGCTGACTCCATTTGTGGCCTTATCAACAATATATTTTTCACATCAATACTATTAGAATTTCTATCCCAATCAGTTTACGAAATTAGATTTGGTTTGATCTGATGCACTTTAAACTCAACTTATTTGCTTATTTTCTCGACTAGATAAAACTTTTTACTGCTATGCTTCGGCGTTCCATTTATTCTCTCTCAATTCTCATTACTGTGCCCAACTGTTTGTGAGGTAACCCCCAGCTGAGCTTTTACGCAAGCCCGTACATTCACCTTCAACATCAACTCAATTAATGTCGCATAGCCTTCTGACTCAGAATTTTCGGCTATAATGATCTGCTTGCCATTGAGCTCATGAGTCATGCCACTATAGGCATCCGGTTTGCTACGCCATTGTAAGGTTCAGCCGTCAAGCTTTATATAACACCAACACTGCCTTATTCGTGGTTGCAATTGCGATGCATATGACCCATATGAATGCTTGTTTTTTTTCTGTTATATTTGATTCCTTGATGTTTTAGGGCTCTCCCAATACGCCAAATCATTAACAAGGACATTCATCTGACCCTTCATTTTTAATTCTTTCTCAAGGGTTTAACGTGGAGACTGTCGAATACAAGAATATCAGCTTCACTGTTTGGGATGTTGGTGGTCAGGATAAGGTGCACGCATGCCTCCTTGTTTATTACTATTATGGCCTCTTCCATTTATTTTTTGGAAGATTTACACGCAATAACACTCAATTCCTATGTATTTACATATCTAACATCTAAACTTCAATATTTACATGTATATCACCTTTACATATCTAACATCTAAACTTTAATTTCAATTTTATAGACTAAAGACAACTGCATTGGGTGTAACATTTTGCAAAAATATTTAACCATTAAAGTTAAATTAGCTGTTTATTTTGCGGTCTGTTATGTATGCTGCTGTTAGATCCGTCCATTGTGGAGACACTACTTCCAGAACACGCAAGGCCTCATCTTCGTGGTGGATAGCAATGACAGAGACCGTGTTGTTGAGGCAAGAGATGAGCTTCACAGGATGCTTAATGAGGTAATTAGTTGTCCAGTGTTATCAGTTCCATTAAATAAGTACAAAGCAATGCTTATGTTTTAAGGCAAATGTGATTTTTTTTTATTTTGCAGGATGAACTGAGAGATGCAGTGCTGCTCGTCTTTGCGAACAAACAAGACCTTCCCAATGCAATGAATGCTGCAGAGATTACCGATAAGCTTGGCCTCCATTCTCTTCGGCAACGCCATTGGTATTTTTTCTTTTTTTCTTTTGTTTTTCTTTTTCTTTTATTAGCTTGGTAGAAGTATCTTTTTCAGGATTAGTTTTGTATAATCTCATTGAATGTGTGTGTGTGTAAGACACCTATGATGCAATTGTGTGGATGACTGTTGCTAATCTTTGCGATAACAGATGGCTGAAAAAGCTGTCAGATCTAGGTGTCATGATCTAAATAAAAAGGGAAATTTACATTAGTACCATACAATTCTTATGAATCTACATATCTAGCAACCAAAGGTTGGTATTTACATTTATAACACTGGTGCTATGAACCGATTGATAAAAAGGTGCATTTGACTTTTAAAAACTTAAAGAGTGATATTTTTTATGTGATGTTAAAAATTTGAGTGTTATGAATGTAAATATTAAAGTTTAGGCGTTAGATATCCAAATACATAAGAATTGTGCGGTGTATATGTAAATGCCCAAAAAAACCAAATAAATACGGAAATAAAATCTCATGACACCTTTATTCAAATATTTTTTTTCTTATTCTTCATCAGCCAAAGTCTCATGTTCCAATATATATTCAGGTATATCCAGAGCACCTGTGCCACATCAGGAGAAGGTTTGTACGAGGGATTGGATTGGCTCTCAAACAATATCGCTAACAAGGTTCTTCTATTCATCATAATAGCTTATTCATGTCGTATTTTGGCTTTGAATAGCAAAATTGATCACCGAGTCTTCCTCTGTTGTTGCTGCAGGCGTAGAAATTTCTCGTGGCCTTTGCTGCATCTGAAGCTAAAAGATAAGTACATGAGCGTACTATCTAGACGAACATTATATTATAAGCTTGTTTATTACCCTGCTGCCATTCATAATTCTAGAATTTGTTATTTATTGTTTAGGAGGAGATATATATAATCTTGACATTGCTTTCACGTTCTTGGTTTTTGAATTTAGTCATGATTGCGACTTTGTTCTGTGTCTTTTGCAATGGATCATAATCTACTGTGTTCTGTGTTCTGTGTCTGTGTTCTGAATGGTGTATTGAATTTTACTCTTTTAAGATAAAATGAAGTGATAAGTGTAAGCTTTACTTCAATTATAAAATGACATGGAAGTTTGATGAAACATAAGCTTAAAAGTTTTGCATTAATATCAGAAATGTATGAGAAATTTGAGTATTAAATATGCTGTAGAATAAAAATTAGGTAATGATTAAAAAACCAAGCACCAATTGATGCAGCACATCTTTGAGCAGTGTTCCGGCCCCATTTAGTGGGATAAAAGCTTCTTGTTGTCATTATTGTTCGTTACAAGTGCTCATTTATTGTCCATCATAAGAGAGCCATGAAGAAATAATTAAATTTTAGATTTTATGTTCTTACATTTTAAAATTAGATTCTAGAAGTTTGAATTGTCAATTTTGGGATTTGTATGGGCTGGTTATGACCAAAAAAAAAATTTTTTTTGATGTACAAAGATGATTGACATTAGCCACTTATATTTTTCTCATGTTTGTTTTTTTTTTGTTAATTTTGTTTAATATAATATCTGTAAGCAGGGTTAGTTGTAATCAATTTTCTTAATGTCAAAGCTTCCAAAATTTTGTTTTGTGTACCTAACTTAATGATAACTTAATTATAAATAATTTTTCAATGAGGATTATTAATTTCCTTTTTGACATTACTTTCTAAGAAAAATATTAATTAATTTTCACAATTTAACCTAGAGTTTTCCTCTCATTTTCGGCCTTAGCTTTCTCACCACTTAAAATTGTAAGAATCATCATTAGGATATTTCTAAAAATCAATTAAATTTATTAGGAATTACATTTCATAACTTAATTTAAATCAATTATAATTGATAACTTAAATAAATTTAATATTTTGCCTTTTTAAAACCTCTTGCTTCCCTATAGGGCTGTTAAAACGGCTTATTTTTCGAGAACTCGTGTTCGGCACGATTGGTAGCTCATGTTCTATTCATTCGCTAAGCAATATGAACGAATTTTTTCACTCAATATATAAACTTTGGTTCTTTCTTGTTCGGCTAATTTTGACTCGAAATAATATATATCTATCTATATATATATATATATAATGAGTATTATATTTAAATAATTTAATCGAGTGTAATGCTACAAAGATTTATAATCAATTAAAATTAATAATAATAAATAGAATATTTAAATTTCACCATACTCTTAACATTCTGAACATCTTATAGTTGTGTGATTAAGTAGCTCATTATTCGTGAACACCTTGTGTTTGAAGATTCGAGTCAAACAAACATTTTTTGAACATGATATATAAACGAGTCGAACATGATATTTTTTAACAAGTCAGAGTTTGGACTCGCTCCAGCTCAACTTGTTCATACCCCTAACGTCTGCATTCTTGACTAGAATTGTCATATAGTGGCATCTTCTAACGAGCCGAGCTGACATTCGAACCAAACAAGTAAAAGTTTGGTCGATCTGTTCACGCATGCGAGAAGGATCCGCGAGCCTTCCTCTCCAAGCTCTCAGCCGAGCTTCCTACAAGTCGCACGAGCTGCTAGGTCACGAATGTCTTTCCCTCCTTCCGCTCGCAGGGGTGAGGGATCGTCGACGACACGATTGAAATACTACTGAAGCCAATGTTCGTAAAGGTAATCCATGCATTTGGTAGAATTGCAAAATTGATTCAAATGAGAAAATCATTATTCTTATCTATTAATATATTATAAAGCAAATTAAAATACTCTTCGTTGTGCTTCTAAAGTCTGGATTTATGAACATGCCACGTTACAATTGGGGTAAATGTTTATGCCAAAGGTGCTCTTAACTAACTATGAATTAACTAAAAACAATTTATGCCAACTATGAATTAACTAAAAAAAAATCAATAATACAGAAACATCACAAATTCATATCAATAATATAATGATGAAAAAATTCTAGATTAGAGCAAATTAGACGATATTTTAAAAGATAAAACAAAAACGAACGTGCTCTTCTACCTAGAATTTAAATTTGGTTATGAAGAACAGTAGTAAGAAAAGACAGAACAAGATGCCATTTTCACCTCTTCACTGGTTCTCATGGTAGGATGTGTGCCCTTCATACACCGCTGCAGCAGAATTTCACAACGTTAGGCATCTATGAAGCGAATGTCAAAGGTGTTGGGATGGATTTGCCACACATTTAAGGCAGCATACTCTTCCAAGCACTCTTTCAGTTGTGCTTCACTGTATCCCTGTGACACAGAAATGATAAGAGTGAAAATTAGAAACTTTTTCCTTTTTTTTTTCCTATGAAATTGAGCCCAGAGCAGTGGCAAACCAAAACTTGAAGGGGCATTTACATACATACCTCTCAATTTTTGTGTATATACAAATCTAATACCTAAACTCTACTTTTTACCTTATAACACTTAAATGTTTCATATCACAGCAAATGCCATAATTTTAACTTTTAGGAAATACACCTTTTCATATATAGTTAAGGTGGAATATATACGTAAAAATTGAAGTTCACCAGCTGGATAGGAAATACATAATAATTAAATGTTAAGTAAATCTTCCAAATTTAAAATGAGTAAAATAAAAAAACAATTATGAAAAATGTAGAGTATATAAAACTATTATTAATATGATTGCTAATTTAAAATATAATTAATATTAAATATTTAAATTTTGGGAGTAAAAATTTTAGAGTAATATATGATATTAAACAGTATGATAAAAACATTTGTTGTCTGCCCCGTAATTTCATCACTATCCCATAATCTATAAAAGCGTCAATTAGTCCATATTCTTTTAATATAGCCCTCAATAAAAGAGTATGTGGAGACTAAATTAATACTTCTATAAACTTTAGCGGCTAACATGACTTACTAAAAATAGTCTGGTAATCATTTTGACGCTCCACTCAAAAGAAAATTTTGATAAGTGGAAAATTCAAGGTTTTTTTAAAATTATTCCAGAATTTTGTTATTTTTCAGTTTTAGAGAACGCCATGTGAGCTTTATCCTTGAGCTAGCAAGAGATTGTCCAATTGCATAGGTGTGAATAATATGGGCATGCTTACCTTTCTAGAAATCCAGTTGAGAGCATGAGCATAAGACACATCTAAGCTGTTAGATCGAGCCGCCTCATCCCTCAGAATCGAATAGATGTCCGAAATGGCATCCAAACCAGATCTTTGGCGATCTTCTGAATACAAAGAGAACTTTGACATTTGCATCAATCGCAATGCCTCATCCACGTCACTCTGAGCAACGGTTGCTGAAAACCGAAGCCTCGCCAGTGACTGCAAACAGATGTGAAAGATTAAATCTTTTTGGGTAGTTGAGTTGTAGGGTTTTTAAAACTATTTAGGGTTTATGGAGGAGCCCTAAATGGACCAAAAAAGAAACCAAGTTCAAAAATTTTAATAACATACAATGGAGATCCGTAGGATGCTCAATAGTGTCCTGACAGTGGTGTAAGAGTGAGGTGCGCTTGATTTAGCTTCTTCTTGGCGAATGCTTGAGTAAGCAGTAGCTATATATTCTTCGAGATCTTTTGGCACAGAAGGACTTGTTCTTCTGGCAGTCGAAATATATGCTCTGTGGTTGAAAAATCAACAAAAGAAAATGTAATAGGGAAAAATTACGTTAATGTTACACAAGCTATCAGATTTTAAAGATGAAGTACAGAAATTTCTGTTCTACTCTAGGAAATAGCAGTAAATTCAGCGGATATGCCAGGGCAAAGGCAGTTAACGAGTTCCTTTATCAAAATCAAATTTTGTTGAAAATAATAGCAGCAGCTGTAGAAAATGGAAGAAATTTAAATGTTTTGCGAGTTTCTACATATACATTACAGGGATAAAATACACTGTTTTTATTGAAATTAACTGAGCATGAAGCCAGAATATGCAATACAGTTCAAAAATACATGTCATAAAAAGCATAAATTTCTTCCATAAATTACAGTAGCAATTCTTTATGGAAGAAACTTTTGCCATTTACCAAGCTTCAAAATTTTACAAAAAAAAAAAAAAAAAAAAATGAAAATTTTGATTTCTGTTATTTGAACAATGCTTAATGATTTAAGATCATCTCTATCAATACTATGTGGGGTATACGAAACATAAAAGTTTCAGTTATTAACTCTTTTCACATTTGATACATAAACATTACTCAAGCATTGAAAAAGTGTACCTCAGGACCGATGGTTCAAGAGGTGTAAACCCAAGTGAAGGTGATTCAAGGTTCTGATGGACGTGGACAACATGTCTTGCCATTTCAAGATCATTGTCCATGTCTGCTCTGTCCAGAATTAGCCAAAGGAGATCAAAGCGAGAAAGAAGGGCAGGAGGAAGATTAATATTTTCGGCTGGAGATCGTCGCAAATCATATCTTCCCCTTCAAAAGAAAAGCGCAAATTAGATAGAAAGCAGTAAGATAAAAGTCAAATATTAGGTTAACATACAAGGTTTAGAAGGTTAGGTGTTTCTGCTAACCAGGCTGGATTTGCAGCAGCAAGGACGGCGGTTCGGGCATTAAGTGAAGTAGTGATTCCAGCCTTCGCAATGCTAACTGTCTGCTGCTCCATAACTTCATGAATGGCTGTTCTATCTGATTCTTCCATCTTATCAAACTCATCAATGGCACATATTCCCATATCAGCAAGTACCTACAATATGGAAAAGTTATTACCATAAAACATTCTGAAAGCTTTTTGAATGTGTCATTTGAGTCCTTGAACCCTAAAGAAACTTGAGTAGCTTGTAAATAATATCATGTATATCACCACTGCTGAAGACATGTACAAGATATTCTCTAACATGGTAAAAGAATCCTATTGAATAATATTTCATTTTTGTAAGTTTAAAAGGCAAGCTTGGTTCAATTGGCTGAATAAGAATTTTTAAACCTTGTATTAAAGGCCTGAATCCATAAAGCTTGATAGCATTGATGTGATGTCTTATCATATGATAAATACTAATTAAGGCGCTGTATAGTAAGGGATTTAAGTAAAATTTAAGTTAAATCTTATCAGACAGAAAATATGGCAATTTTAAATCCAAGATTTAATAAATCCAATTCCTCCTCATTTTTTTCTAAGTTTTGCATTAAATCCTGGATTTAAATCTTATTATTGCCATAATTTAGTAAATCTGGATTTACAAGATTTACTAAAACTGTTAAAGCCGTTGCCATACAGCCTCTAAAAATAAAACTACAACTTGAACGGTACGTCTAGCTCATAGTTGAATCATTAATTTAATCATAAAATTAAAACAACATTATGGTAAAGCAAAAAAAATGCAAATAATATGCTTTATATCATGTACATAATTTATAATTGTAAAAATTCGGGTGAATTGTTTTGCAAGAAATGAAGAATAGACTTCATGAAGTCCAAGAATATGACACATGCTGACAAATAAGACAATGCCTTATGCTAAAATTTGATTGATGCACTAAACTTTGAAACTCAAATTAGGAGATGAAGCTCATGCAGAGTAATAGTTGGACTCAAAACTGTATAGATTGGAAATTTGCATATTTGATATTGTATAGATTTGGACGTTTGCAAAATAGCAAATATATTGCTTCAAAATTATGAGAAAACAATTACACTAAACAACTAGATTGCATTTTCTGTGCTTGAATAGAAACAGTACATTACTTCATCTGCCATATGAGAAGATTTATTAATAATGCAGTTATAGATAGACAGCTAACCAGAGCACCTCCTTCAAGAATCATCTCATTTGTGACAGTATCTCTCTGGACAGCTGCAGTTAGGCCAACGCCGCTGCTTCCTCTTCCGGTTGTATACACCCCTCTTGGTGCTACATTTATAATATGCTTAAGCAGCTGACTTTTTGCAACACCAGGATCACCCATCAAGCATATATGCAAATCACCTCTGATCTGAAATTTCAGATAGATTTATTTTTCTAAATACTTCAGGAATTTGCAAAAAAAAAGCTTGTAGAATGAATATAATATTTTGACATATTTCTTCCATCAATTTATACTCCGCATGGAGAACATTAAAATTAAAAAAGAAAGGATGCATTTCATGCATGGAAATGTTTAGAGGCAAAACTTACTTGATCTTTTCAAATGTATATATTACTGATCACTAAACAAGAAGATAAAACCTAACAACTTTATTTAAAATATCTCATTAAAGATGTTTAAAAAAATAGGAAATGAACATCATATTAACCATCAAAATGAATAAGAGTTTGACAATATCACAAGTCATATTCCATACCTTCATACCATCAGAGAGCTTCCGGTGAGGTGCACCAACAAGAAGGAGAAGAAGAGCCTTTTTCACATCCTCGTGACCAAAAATTTCAGGAGCTAATGATCTTGAAAGCTTATTGTATATATCTCCATCCTCAGCAAGGCCTTCAATTTGTTTCTGCTCATCCTCACTAAGTTCATAGCTGCACTTGAATAAAAATAAGTTTAACCAACCAATTTGCCTAAAGGATGCAATCAAGTGAAAAGATCAACTTAAAACACAAAATTAGCCGAAACTGGAACTTCTCGTTCCAAAAAATTTGAATATGAAATAAAATGTGGCTATTGCATCTCCACATTTGCATGCATAGAAATATTTGCTAGTCATTACATTTGCCGCACTTTTGCATGTACATTTATAAGGAATTGAGCTAGCTGACAGGTTATTTATCAACATTTTCTGCAGTATTAAATCAACTGGCCTATTTAAGATTTTGGTAGCTTGGATTTCAACATGAATTTCGTAATCATAAGATATTTCATAAAAAGATTTTCATTTTTTTGGTTGCTTGCCTTCTCAAGGTTGACGATTGAGTATTATTTCACTCATTATTAATATCATTTCTCATAAACTTTACGTAACTATTTATAGGTAGCTTTATAAATCCTGATTTTTAGTTCATTTTTGTTGAGTGCTACAAAAAAGGTTAAAACTTTTTTCCCACTGTTTATTTAACAACTTTATCCGACTACATTTGATCTGCCACTTATTCTTCCCAATCCTTTGACATTAATTTATACATCTAGCAAATTAGTATATTTTCTTTCATTTTATAAGTCCAATCAGACAGTTTTTTTATAATCTTATCTTCATTGTGCACCAACTTTTATTCCACTGAGAAATAAAATTCCAGACTAAGAATAATCACTAAACAGTACTCAATGACAGTATCAAGACTGCATCAAGACTGCATCAAAGTTACAAAGCATGAAAGCAGTGCTTCTGGGGAAAAGAAAGGAAGATTTATATACATAACACTTAATTCCTATGTCTTTACATATTGAACAATTAAACTTAAAGTTTTACAGACATACCACCTTATCTAAGCATGAAAATGTCTATTTCACTTTATAAAAGATAAAATGACGGTACTTTTTATGTGATATTAAGGATTTGGGCGGTATAAATGTAAAAAGTAAATTTTAAGTGTTAGAGAAGTAAATACGTAGGAATTGAGTAATATGCATGTAAATGCTCCCCAAAAAAAACATGGACATTGTAGCTCGGCTCACCACAAGTTTGTACAGTTTACACTACCAAACAATATGGCTTACTCTTCATATTTCTTCTTAAAATGGGTGACAGACATGGTCTCCAAGTATGTATCTGCAATTAAGCCGGCCCTCATAGCTCTGAATCCTGTATACGGAATTGGTAGGAAAATTCCAGAGAGCTCGACAACATCACCTGGAGCAACCTGATGCAACAAAAGTTTAGTCATAATCTTTCGGAAAAACTCCTACTAAAATGTGAAAGAAAAGGCATTATACTGCCTCAGATTATTTTAGTAGACAGTGGGAAGTAGCATATTATTTGTTATCTTTTTTAATTCAATTTCCAAAAGAATGATTACATAAGTGTAAGTTTTAAGCTCCGGGCAGGCTCTTAGGACCATTAAGTTTAGATTTTAAGCAAAAAGGATAACTCTAAGAGGGGTATTGTTGATAATAATTTCGCATCAAACCAAGAATACAAAAAATAATCATTGAAAAATGAAATCGAAGAAAGAATAAAAAAGGACAATGCTTAACCTTCCTCGTTAGCTCTCCTCTGAGATGACAAGTCAAAGACCGAGGAATATGACCTTTCGGAACATGTTCTGCTAACTCTTGAATCTTAGCCTACAGCAAATCACAAATTATCAGGCCGTAAAAAAAAAAGAACAAAAGATTTTGATAACAACAAATATATATATATAGACACACACACACACCTCTAGAAATATTTGTGCAATGAATATAATGGCAGCTTATAAAAATTGCAAACCTAGTGCATGAGGCTCCTGTAAATGTAGGGAATGACAAAAGCTTGATTTACACAACCATACTTATAAAATGAAGAAAAGGCTACTTCTATGACTCAATCACCAGGTCAATACAGACGTAACCAAATATTTTTTTATGTTATTCATCGCTATTATTAATTGAGCTCTAAATGCATACAGCATCAAAGATGGAGGTTTTCTATAATGGCAATTAAAAAGATTTTGGTCTGCTTCAGCCAACCAAAAGTGAAAAAACAACCATTAGATTTGATATAAATTCTAAATGCGTGAAAAGCCATTAAAAAAACTCTTAAGCTACAATAACCTAGAATATATTGAGTTGTACAATAAATGAATATGGCATCGGCAAAGAAATTTTAATAGCAATATATGAAGTTCATAGACATTTATAAATATAAGTACCTAACTGATTCGCCCACTTAAACCTAAGCCCTCAAGCATTTGTTATTACAAAAATTAAAAAATTAAAATCAAAATTATAACAAGACAGCCAAACAACAACTAGCAGGACAATTAAAGGCATCGCGGTGCCTAGCCATTCCTCTTAAGTTTTGAAGCCTTTGTTTGTGACAGTACCACCTAAAACTTTTCTCTATTAAAAAGTTCTAACAATCTTTCTCATTGTCCATTCTTTAGTTTTCAATTCAACGAGTTCATATATTATGCTTCATACTAGTGTTTCTAGAATGTTTCTATGTTTTACTATCAAATAATCATGTGCATAATAATTAGTACCATTTTCCCGTTCTTAATGCTTGAGAAATATGTTTTGATCCGTCATAACCTTAACTTCCAGAAATATTCTTGCTTATTGTAATTTAAAATTATATTCCACGATATGGAAACAATATTAAGGGTTAAGATTATATTTTTTTATGATTTGCTTCTAGCAGGCTACTAGCCTTATAATCAAAAATCCGTAGTTATAACTTCTATCAGAAACATTAGTAATGCAATACAAGTGTATTGAATTACATGAGAGATTAAATAAATCGTGTAAACCACCAGCCACATTTTGGAACTGTTTTAGATCTCATTTTGTGATGAAGCAAAAGTTTGATTGACAGCTCTTCCATGCAAGTTTCTCACAAGTTCTGCTTGAGAAATCTATCTTCCAAAAGGTCCTTCCGCTAAATTTGCAAATATTGCCAAATTACAAACAAAACTGTTTGCACTTCTCTCACTACTCGACTTGCTTAAACAAGCACAAAATGCACCTAATAAGCTTATTGGCCAAACACTGGTCAATATTTAGATTCCAGAGCCCTCCCCTGGTAAAAAAATTTCTACATGACCATCTTAATTAAGGCAAAAGGTATTCATTCATAATTATAGCCCGTTTGCAAATGAAAAGTGATAAAATACAATAATGAAGAAACTACCTCTTGAAATTTCAAAAACTTGGAAGCTCTCAGCTGAAGTATAAGGTTTCCCTTGGTGTTGTTTGTTTTGCACCGAACTGATGGGCACTCAAAAAGAGGCATAAATACTCGAGCAGTCACTTCCTGGAAGTTTCACATTTAACAAAATAAGAAAAAAAAATAAACCATGAATTTCAAGAACGGAAAGAAAAAATAACAAATTTCTTCAGGAAAAAATAGCCTAAATCAGTCATATGGCATTATTAATGATGTTCCAAGGAATAATTGAGAAACATAAGCGAGAACATTAAAATATATCATATAAAAATGAGGCCTTAACACATGCTAGGTGATCTGCTGATACTAAATCATCATCATTAGATTTATGCCATTTAATTGAAATCGGTAAAAAGATGGAATGAAAATTAAACCATTATCATCATAAGCCATAAGCCCTTGCGTCCTGTTAATGCAATTAAGTTCTGGTTAAAAACTGATGAGAGGATGATATAACAACGAGAACTGTTATTGTTTGAGAAAGTCTAATTAACATCAAATTGCAGAGAGTCTAGAATGTCATTATATTTCTACTCGAGTAAATTACATGAAAATTTAAAAAAAATAAATAAGGGCACCTCACATTATTATTAGAGCCAATTTATTTTAACTTAATCATATATTATTCTTTAATTATATGTAGTCTTATAAAGAAGGTGCCGTGTTGTCCAGTGGTGTGGCCTCTAATGATGTTGGAATAGGAAAAAAAAGGGCAGCTAGCAGGCAAGTGATATTCAACACATCTTGAACATTTTTTCATGTAACAATGCATCATGCAAAAAAAAAAGATTGCGATTGACTAAAAAAATAGTCCGTTCAGTGAAGTGAACCTTATCTCTGTTCAGCCAACATCGCCATTATAATTTTCAAACATTTTAAAAGCCATTCAATTTTAAAGGAATTTGTGCTTTATCGCTCCTCTTTCACTAGAAGGAGCCGGCTTCCACAGAACTAACATGAAGCATGCCTAAGCCTCAGAGACTTGCAGGTAATTTATTATGATTTTAGTTGCATTCTTCTATGAAAATTAGGCCTGATAATTAAAAATGGCTTCTATCCCTTTAAGAAAATGAAGATCTATATCTGTTTGTAGCTGGCAGATAACCTATTAACAAATAAAAGCTGCAAGAACTAAGGAAACTAGCAAAAATGCATAACTGTTGAAACACTACAGCTGAATACCACCAGCAAATGGAGCTGAAAACTTCTATCTGAGCGTTTAATACCTGATAGATCTCAAATCCACATTCTTCACATGTGTAAACAGCAACTTGCATCAAGGGTTTCACATCGGAACACCGTGTAACAATGCCCGAGATCTTTACAAGCTGCCCAATATTTGATGCTTTAACTTGCCGTATGGTAAGAGGTGTTCCTTTTGAGAATGCCTTTATGTAGACTTCACTGATTTACAGAGATTGTTGGTTAAGACTTCAGAAACGGTTAAATCAGAATTATAAAATAATCAAGAAAGCAGTGGGATTTGCAAAATAAGAAAGATTAAAAGACGTTTATAGTATTGATTAACTGAATTTTTGCCAAACAACCCATTAAAACATTTACTCTTTTGACATAAAACAAAAAGTAATTTACAGTACTTCCCTTCGAAACTCAACTACATTTTTATCAAAATAATAGTTACAAGTGCTGAACCTCTTCAACGAAGATCGACATCCACTATACAATGATATTGAGAAATTTTAACAACAAAAGGAACAAAGCTATCACTTCCTCTTCAATGGCAGAATAATTCAAAGCATACAATCCTCTTTCATAAAACGTCTACTCAAGCAAACCTAAAAAGTTTAATTTGGTTTGCATTTTGCATACTTAATAAAAGCATAAGGCAGGAGTTGGTCACTTTAGTAATTTATAATAATATGTCCATACTATCCAAACAGTGAAGTAAATGTTGAAAAGTAGCATCTATAAACAGGAAAATTGAATGAAAACCTAACACAGCTAGAATGCAAAACACGGAAATGTTCTAAAAGAAAGATGTGCTGGTTAGAAACATTGGAAAACAATGAAATCTGTATCCATCGACGATATTGTAAATCAATAAAGGCGAGCTTAGTACTACTTTATTTAAACTCGTATATTTATTTTTTTATAACTTGATTTTTTAAATACTACTAAGCTTTTTTTTTTATAACTTACCAATTTAAAAATACCCTGGCAAGTTTCCTGCCCACACTCAGCCATGCTCCCACGCTTTAAGTTTTTTTGCCCCTTTTATTTAAGAAAATAAAGTAAAAAAATACAATTAAACATATTGTACAAAACAGGCCACCCTCCTCTCTCACTTATTCCCCTTGTGACTCGCCCAACTCCCTCTCTCAATCTCTCTCACTCTCATCCTCCCTTGCTCCAGCATAAATCCTCACAAACACAAAAAACAGCATGAAAGGGTCCACTGCTCTCATTGTCTCCTCATTTCTCCTCACAATCGCCACTCTCATTGCTCCTCTCTTTCTCTTCATCATCAGAAAACACCTCCTCACGGCCTCTCAACTCAACATTAGTAATCCCCTCCTCATCACCTATCGCTCGTCTTTCCTCTCACCCTCCATCTACTCTCTAAATCCCTCACCCATTATGCCTACCTCTCTCTATCTTTCTCTCCTATCTTCTTCTTTCCCTCTCTATCACTTTCTTTTTCTCTTTCACGATGTTCATCTACTTCTCATCCCATCTCTCTCAATCTCTCACTCTTTCTTTATCATCCTTTCTCCCCCTCCCCCTCTCTTTCACTCCTTCCCCACTCTCACTCACTCTCTTTTCCTCTCTCTAAATATAGATCCAAAAAAATAGAAAACAAAAAAAAAATAAAAGGAAAAAACAAGAAGAAAAAAAAATGAAGGAAAAGACAAAAATTCTGTGTGATTAGGGTTATAACTCATACTCAACTAGATTAATACTTGACTAAGTTTGCTCAAATTAGTAAATAAATAAGTTTAAACATTTTTTAAAAACTTGGTGATATGAACCAAGTTTACACATGGACCAACTCATTTATTTATACTCAAGAGCAAACTCATTTATTGTTTAACAAGTAATTTGTTAAATGTTTGATATTAAATTAGATGATAGCTCATCTCATATATAATATATTATTCAAATAGAAATTAATAAATTAAAATTTATTTAATTATAGATTTCATAGTAAAATATTAAAATAAAATATCAATAATATTTTAGAAGTAATATTAATTACATTTTCATTTTACGAATATTAGTTTATTAGCTAACATAATTTATTAAAAAATACATCATTATACATCGAAGTCAATTCATCATATTTGTTTATATTAATTTATTTATCATTATATAAATACATAATATACTTTTATTAATTATATAATCCATATTAATAATATCATATCATATCATATACTTTTAATCTTTTTGTCAATTCATGAATCAAGCTTTGTTTAGCACTCTGACAACCTCAACCCATTTTCCCCCTTCTACAATTTTTACTTTTGTTTCACACAAAAATGTTCCTTATCCAAGTAAATATTCATTTTTTTTTTACTTTTTTAATATGCAGATTAACTTAATGCAATTCTTTCCTTGTTTCTTTATTTTAAGGAACTAGTTTGTGTATATTTATTGATATTATTTGTTTGCAAAACATGCTTGCAAATTATATATTATCTTATTTAATTGATGTAAAATGATTAGATATTAATTTTTAATTTATTTATTTATTTGTTTGCTAGGATTTATAAAATTATTTGTTAAAAAATTTAAATGAAATGTCAAGTGCTCATTTGATTGTTTAACTATTTATAAACTTGAAGGAATATGTGTTCAATTAATATAAAAAATCAAAGTACAAATTAAATACAATTATTTCAAATATAAATAAGCCAAGTATGACATACATGTGAGAGCATCGTTCGAGCTTGAGTTGAATATGAACAGCTTATAATATGACCAAGCTAGTCCAATTCATGTCATACTCAGCTCGATTCAACTAAAAATACAATCCCTATGTGTGACTCCATCATTGTATTAAATTAGCAAGCTCAGGGTCGACTCATCCTGCCTGCAAGGAATAAAGCCAAAAAAAAAGCTATGCCAACTAATGTAAGAGCCTGTACGCTTCTTTTTTGAAACATCAGTGAAATCAATTTTTTGCTTGCTAAATTATCTCATGCATGTGGCTCATACAAGTCATTCTTAGCGATGTGGTAAGAAAACACATACGTGATTTTTTGTCATGAGAGAAAACCCGAAGAGCAAAAAATAAGTGCCGCGTGTCTTTCTTGACACGAAGCTGAAATATTATGTTATATTTTCATGTATGTATGAAACTGAAACATGTATTGATGCGATGAAATACAAGACCACTCCATGGTGTCCTAGATGCCAACCATACACATTTTTTTTTTTTTCAAATTGATGGCCAAGGCCGGACTCTCCATAAATATGTCTTTATGTAAGAGAGACCATGAGACTGCCACATCTTTCAAGGAAACAAGCCTGCTAAAGACTAGGAGCATTATTTAAATGATTTTTCGAAGCCAACAGCATAAATAAAATAAAGTAAAAAATCAAAATCATATAAAAAAGAGTACTCAAAATAGCACAAGTACTTCAGAAAAAAATGGAGAAAAATAAAAAGAACACAAAATTGAAGCTTGAGTTAGACTTATAGAAAACTTGAAGTAGACTTGAACGCTCGCCTGAGAGCAGAAACCTTCCTAGCAGCACTATGAAAACCCTTCAATGCTCAAATTCTAAAGATAAGATTTAATGAACTAGACTTGGTTGTGTAACTGAACCAAGCAACTCCTCTACATATAGGCAAAGAATAATCCTCCATGAGCCCTACCAAGTAAAATACAAGTCATATGCAGATAAATCACGGCTGTTTGAAAAATAGACAAAATATTTTAACTAGTATCTGTTGCATATAAATAGCTAAATTATCACAAACACACAGGATATGACCAATAATAAACTGAAAATATTAATTTGAGTGCACATTTGATTAATAATGAGTTCAAACGAATGATTTCAATAGCAAGCCCCTATACTTCTCAATTTGTTGTGCCTTTACGTGAATAAACACTCCCAATTTTCTAATACAATTTATTTTGAGCTTAAAACCTAATGTCACATGAAAATTTTAAATTTATTAAATCAAAAAAAGTTTAACTAAAACTTAACACTTAAAGTTTAAAATAATAATTTATGCACTAGTCATTATATGTATATTTTTATAATCACTCTAAAGGATTAAATTAAAATATGACACTCAATATGACACAAAGGAGAAAAAGGATTCATATAGCGGACCCCACTTGGTGGGATAAAGGTTTGTTGTTATTGTTGTTGTCTTCTAAAGGATTGTACGGTAACAATTTTAAAAGTTATTGTGAATCTTGCAATCAAGATTTATTAAATCTTACCAACACCAAAATTTAGTAAATTCAGAATTTAAGCAAAAATTGAGAAGAAATTGAATTTACTATACCATGAATTTAGATTGTTATTTTTATCTAGCAAATTTCAAGTTAAATCCTACTCAAAACATTACAATATAGCCCCCAAAAAAATCTCACAGTATTAAGTATATGGCATACATCATCTAACAATATAACTTTGCTAATAAATGAAACAAAAAATAACGCTTATGAAAAGAGTCATCTAACTAAATAATTCATTGTAAAATAACACTATTAAATTATGATCACCACAAAAGCCAATAATTTCCACAGTAATCCAAATCCTCAAGTGGTTAACCATATATTGTATTTGATAAAATTAAAAACCTTTGTTATATGAAATAAATTTAAAATTTTACCAATAACAAACATCCACCTCAAATTTATAAGATCTACTTAAACGGTGAAAATCATGACCGTTGACAATGATCTTTAAGCTAGGTTAACTCAACTATCTCCTCCGATTAAGTAAATCAAAACTCATGATAATCCAAAACAATAAAAACATGAAATCTTAATCAAATTTATCATCTTCCCCCCATAATTCGCTATAAGTTAAAGATGATGTATTTCTTAAATCTAAAATAAATTATAATTATTATCTAAACACCTGTGTCTAACGACTCATTTTTATTAAAAAATATCTCTCAACACTAAAGAAGGTAATCAATCATAAATACTTATGCTTGTGAGAAACATAGAATCAGATCATAAATTTCCCACAAAATGAGAGCAAATGTTATATGTGGTGTGCATTTAAAAAATATAATCTGCCTTTTAAAAATTTAATTGGAAACTAAAAAAAATTTAGAATACCCGGACACAAATTTTCAAAGCCATGTTTTATTATAGATATCAAGTCATAATCCGACTTTAATCAATCCAATCTAATAAATCCTAATAATTTAAACATATAGCTTTATTATTAAACATAAATGAATTTATAAATTGCAACCAAATTTTGCATGGTTCACCAAGGGGCTATTCATCTTGAGTAAAATAAGGATAGAATGTTTTGTTTATTAAAGCTTAACATTTTAGTTGTATGGTCTAAGAAAAAATAACAACAACAACAACAAAGCCTTAATCCCACTGCGCAGGGTCGGTTACATGAATCTTTTTTTTTTCCATTGCATCCTATTTATGGTCATATTTTCAATTAGTTCTAATAAATTACAATCATTTATTATACAATAAGATCATGTTTTCCTTAGTCTACCTCTACCTTTCTTAACATAAGTCGAATCTAAAACATCTACTCTCCTTATTGGATCATCAGATGATTGACATTTAATGTGACCAAACCATTTAAGAAGACTCTCTAATTTTTTCCGTCATTGGAGCTACACCAACCCTATCATGGATATATTCATTTCGCATTTTGTCTCTAAGTGTAAAGCCACTCATCCGCCTAATCACTGTCATCTCAGCAACGCATAACTTAGTATTATGTTTTTCTTTTTAAGGCTAACATTCAGCGCCGTAGAACATTGCAGGTCTCACCACTATCTTATAAAATTTTCCTTTCAGATAGTACTTTTCTATCACACAAACGGCCCGAAGCATTCCTCCACATCAACCAACCAACTTGAATTCTATCATTAACATACCCATCTATATCACCATCGCTTTTAACAACAGACCCGAGATATCTAAAACAAAAAAAATACATATAAAATTTTGTAACAATGCCAAAATGAAATTTCTACTTGCAAAAGAACTTCCTCCTAATTAACAAAACTTAATTTGCTTAAGCTCAAGTCCTTCATCCACAACTTTTTCACTAACAAAATATGATATATGCACCAAACCACTCTCCCTATAATGATTACTAGCAAAAGCCCTTCCAAGCAACTATGTCACATAACCTCTTCATAGCAAAACACATCATCAAGATCTGTATCAACCCCTCTATGCCAAAACCCTTGTCAGACAGGTTAAAAATTCAACAATCGCATCGTAACTTATCCCTTCACCTTCTTGTTTCTTTTGTTGGAGACTAAAAATTGTAATTCTTGTCAAAAACAAGTTTCAATTCCTCATCACCCTCTAGCTACATGAGGTTCCATGGAATCATTCCATGCAAGTGTTTTATCTTAAATCCCACCAATCATGGTTATAATGGTTGCCTAAAAAACCTCAAGATTAATATCTCCTGTAATATAATCTTATCCAAACTCTTTTTTTGAGAATATAATCATTTAATGTAGTTTTATATAATGTGTATTTTTTTTTAATTCAAAGCTATTTGATTACAGGCAGGGTAACTTCATTCCATTCAAAATGGATAATTTCAATTGTCATTGAGGAGTTGTTTGGTTTAGTTTTAGAGGTTCTTATATTATAGGTTTATCTTATGTTTAAGTTGAATTTTAAGGGATGCATATGCTACAAGTGTTACTACTATTTCATCATTATGTTTGACTTGTATTAATTTGTGAAAATAATGAAAAGTTTTATCATCATTGTCTTTTAGTCAAGTATCATGCTCAGGACTTTATCATTTTACCCTTCATTCTCAAAAGATATGCATTGTGACAACATGCAACCAAACAACACTTGAGTTTACTTAGGTTGCTTGGTGCAGTTCGAAAGTCTATTAAGAAAATTAATAATATATTTAATATGTGTTTGGTGTGTTCATCGTAATCCACCAATAATAACATGCACAATTTAAAAAGTGCATAGGGTGTGAGAAAATTGATACATTAGCATGTAATAAGTCAATGAGTAGACAATCAAATCATTTTAAAAGTGCATTTTATCAGAACCTTGGTGAGCTATTTATCAAATAATAAGCTTGCATGACAAGTGGTAGATAGTAAAGTTATTCGTTTATACATCACACTTTAAAAATTAGTTATAAAAATTTTCAAATATATAAACAATAATCATAAACAAGCCTTATATGAATAAATATAGCTGTTTACCGAGATTAAGTGTACTATTTGCCCTATGTATCAGCTATAACAAGTTTCAAGGTCTGTAAGAGGCATCAATTAAGTACCAATTTATGCCAACTACATGAAAACTAAATTTGTAATGAAATATCCTATAGAATATAATTGGAAATCAGCCACCAAGCTAAAACTTTATCAAACTTAATTCATAGCATTTCACGATTTACTAAATGCTAGACACTAAAAAACATACTACAGCCAGTAATATCAAACATCCAAATTAAAACAATTTTGCAACAGATAACCTTGTAATCTCCTTCCACTTACAAGAATCGTTTAATATCGGGTGGCATCCTGCGAAAAGGATCGGACTGATCCGCACTGTCCGTCAAATCTTCAGCCCTCTGCGTCATGAGAATATCATGATCATCTTCAGCAGAGAACAGCTCCGTTGGTTCAGGCATCAGCTCATCCACCGCCTCAGCAAATATGCCGATATATCTACGCGTGTTCTCGGTCACCCTCTGCAAAAACTCTTCGTCCAAATCCTTGTACTGCCGAAATACATACAATATTAAAGACAAACGATGGCAGCAAAAGAGATGAAAAATAAAAGATAAGAATCCTACATTGAAGAGATCGTCAAGCTCGATCTGGACGGAGCGGGTACGGCGATTGGCAACATCTTGCTGCAGAAGGCCAAAACAGTAATTAGGTCTACAAGTTAGAGTTTAGGGTTTCGGATTTCGTTTAACAGAAGAAAAGTAGAAGAATATTTACAAGGAGATTCAGGTATTTGGGTTCTCCGTGTGTGTTCGCAAAGTTGTTAAGGAAATCCTTGGCGAGGGCTGGAGAGAATAGATGAAGAAGGATCGGTGAGATCGCTGGGAAGACAATTGAAAATGAATGTGGAGGTCCAATAGGACTTACCTTTGTCGGCGGCGAAGTCGAGGTTCTTCATCTGTACACAATATCGAGAGGGCCGGATCGAGTTCTGTGCGTAGAGACAATAGGGAGAAAGCGAGAGCGAGTGGTGGGGGTATGGAAGGAGGGATTTTGGCGGGAAAGTGTGAGGAGAAGTTGCATTTGGCGGGAGGAGGGGAATGGTGCATTCTAGTTAGTTTTTGTGGAAATTTACAAACATACCACATAATTCTTACTTTTCATATATAACACCCAAATTTTAACATTTATAATATCTTGATGTCTTAAATCTAGTGTTAAACTTCTGAAAATTAATAATAATGATAATTTTATATGATAATTAGTATTTGAGTGGTATATATGTAAATATGAATGTTGAATCTTAGATATGTAAATATGTAAGAACTATGTGGTGTGTATGTAAATGTGGAAAAAAATTTTATGGCTTGTAGAGCATTATTTGATTTTTAAAAAAATTTACTGGAACACTAAGTTTCAACTAATTTATTGTTCTAGTCACAATTTTCCTTCATACTTTGTTGAATTGGGGCATCTATGTATTTACATGTCTCGCACCTAAACTTTCATATTTTCATTTAAAACAATCAAATGACAATGGATGTCAAAAATATTTGTTCGTGACAGCTCGTGTTCGGCTCGTTAAGTAGCTCATGTTCAAGTCATTCGTTAAGTAAGCGAAACACAAATAACTTTTTTAAAAAAATGAATTATAAACGAGTTGAACACGAACAATCCTTTATTTTGATTGTATACAAGTAGTTTTAGCTCAAATTAAAAAATTTTGTATATTACTTATATAATAAAATATTATTGTTCTTTGCCAAAAGATTCAAGGAAGTTGAGTGATAAATTTATGTCTTGGTGTGGAACAAAGATCTATCATTCACCTATATAAATGAAAAGTAACAAGAGTGCACCTTTTCTTGCATGGAAAAACCCTATAAAATGTAAAAAAACCATGAAGCTTGGCCCATTCAAATTAATTTGTTATGTGATTGTGAGCACATATGTTTACTCTTCTCATGAATTAGATAATATAAATTTATACAATTGATAATCACATATGTATTATAGTTGTTTAGTTATAATAGTCATGATTGGGCGACATTGTTTGTATTTTTTTCTATAATAGCAATAGTTGGTCACAACATGTTATAATAGTAGTTGCAAGATGATATATGATTGCACTCTCGTTTAGTCATTGCTGCATCCACCACAGGATATGTGCGCTCTTCTTTGGTACCTGGTTGCTTGCAAACTGCGTAAAGAAGAGCCTTTGTAAGTTTGAAAAACTAATGATACTCCCAATCGAGAGTAAGTTGAACCACTTCATGTCACGACCCGGCTAGATGAACTTAGAATTACTAAGACGGGAACTGACTGTCGAATAAATGAGATCTATCTAACAGTTTAATTTTATCAAAAAAAAAAAAAAAATCAATGCATCAAAAAGTCATTATAGTTCATAAGACTCATATTTACATTAGATTGCATCAATGTTTACATTTAAACAGAAAGTAAAGTAAACAACAAACCTATCAGCTTCTGCTCCATAGCGCTTATACCCATACTCTCTATGGTTTATTTAATCTACAACTGGTTTTCGTATAAAAATGTTAACAACTATGGTTTGAGTTAAAACTAATCAGTGAGTTAAACTTTATAAATTATAATAATTTTCATTTTAAAAAGCATTGCAAAATAGTAGTAAAAGAAAAAGACTATGCGGTAAAAGAAAACGGTGAAGTAAACAATTTTAATTTTAATTTCTTTCTTTAATTTAGGTTATACTTCTCATATTTAAGGTTCACTGACCAAACATATACTTTATGAAAATATACACTTAACCTTTTCCAATCTGTCATAAAGGTAGGGCACAATTTTCATTTTCATATCCATTTCAATTACATGCACAGGTAGAATCTATCCCTCTGTTTGTATCATCTAGAGATGACTATCATATGCAAGCATATGTAATTTTTTATTTATTTTTTATCTTGTATTTTAAGTTTAAAAGAAAACATGTATTTAACATATAAAAAAAAATATGAACTTTTACATTTAAAAAAAATGTGGGAAACATTCTAAACATATGTAAATAAAAAGAATTATTATTACGCGTGCGCACCCGTGTGTGTGTGTGTGTCTATATATATATATATATTTCAAAGGAATGACCAAAGGCTATTATACAAGCTCAGGTCATCCCCAATGCACATAACAATTCGAGTACCACACCCTCTACCGGGGGGAATCAAACCCTAGACTCGAGGGGACTTACAACTGACAAGCAGATGCCCGACCAACTGATATGAGTACGCGGCGCATATACATGTAATATATATATATATATATATATATATACACCTAAATAGTGTTGGTTGTTATCATTTTTCTCAAGTTAATTTAGTCCATAAGTACACCACCTAACATTAATAACAACTTAATTATAAATAAGTTTTAAGGTTAGGGTTTTCATTTCATTTTAACATTAATTAATTAGAAAAGAAAAAATATTTTTTTTGAATTGAACTTTATACCTGAATTTCTCTTATGATGAGTTCTCTTACGAATTTAGTCTTCTCCAAACTTGCCATAAACAAATATAAACAAGATTTTAATTTATTTAAAATGTAAGCTTTCAGACATTTAATCTTAATCAATTACAGTTAATAATTTAAATCAAAATAACACTAATTAACTTAACTTTTTTTTCATTTTTAATTCCTCCATCAAGCCCTAAATATACTCAAACAGAACAATAAGGCTCGTTCTAGCTCTATCAAGCCCTAAATATACTCCCGCACTCAAAGCTCCTGCGAGTCCTTCCTTCCTCTTCTCCTTATTTTGTCGCTTCTTTCTTCTTTCACCTCACTCTCTCAATCTCTCACGAACCGACTGTCTCTCTCGCTCATTTCCCCCATTGAGTTCGAATGAGGGGTCTAGGGGATAGCTTCAATTCTGACACCCCCATGAGCATGGAGCTCCTCGTTCAAATGACTCCTACAAAGCAAGTGTTATGAACCATAAAAGTATCTTTTTTTATTCCGATAATTACTTTTTTTTATTTTTATTATTACAATATATCATCCTTATAAAAATTTCATCCTCCAAATTTAAAGTACAAGAATATAGTGTTAACCTTAACTAAAAAGGTGCAGACATTTTTCCCTCATTCTAATTTCTTCTCCCATGTAGTATATTTTTCAGTTTAGTGCTTCCATAATACACGAATAAAATTAATCTCTCCACTCCTAAGCTGCTTCACATCTTAATTCATGATTCTTTTTGGCTCATCAACAAATGTCAAGTCAAGTTGAATATCAATAGGATCAGTAACAAGTTTGTTAGACTTGTTAGCAATATATTTATGAAACAATGAAATATAAAACACTTTATTTACCCCGTACATGTGCGCCGGTAGTGCAAACATGTATGCCACTTTCACAATCATCTTCACGATTTCATACAAACCAACATATCGTCTACTCAACTTCCCAGACTTTCCAATTCGCTAAAAACCCTTCATCGGATTGACCTTTAGAAAGACAAATTCCTCGACTTCAAACTCAATTGGTCGGTGCTTGACATCATAATAGTTTCTCTGCATATCCTACATTTCTCTCAGTCTGTCTCAAATAAGCTGTTTATTCTCATTTGTTTCATCGACTAAATCAACATAATTTTCTTTCTACAGCTTTTACCCAACAAAGAGGCGCCTGCATTTTCTTTCGTGAAGGGCTTCATAAGGAGTCATACCAATATTAGCCTGAAAATTGTTATTGTGGGAAATTTTATCAAAGGTATGTGAACTCCCACTTTCCACCAAAATCAACAACACAAAGTCGAAGCAAGTCTTACAATATTTGGATCGTGATGAAAAATGTATTGAATGTTAGTTGAGTGCCCAAAGTCACTGAACTTTTCTTTGTTGTCTTGATGTGAATCTACCATCTCGATATGAAACAATAAATTTTGGGACTCTATGCAGTCATACAATTTCATCGACATCAATTCTGACAACTTGTCAAAAAAATCTATGTCTGATGGGAATAAAGCATGCAAACTTTGTTAGACGATTAATATCACAACCCTACATTGATATCGGTAGCCTCGTCACAAAGTCCATAACAATGCCTCTCATTTCCAATATAGTATAGACAACAGTTGTAATAACCCACCAGGCTTCTGATGTTCAACCTTAACCATCTCTCAAGTACGACACTTTGCTAACTCTGCTACACTACGCTTTAAACTCGACCACCAAAATAAACCCTTAAGGTCCTGGTACATCTTACTACTTCTTGGTGTATTGTACATCACCAATAATGTGCCTCATGCAGGATTTCCTTTCGTAAATAATTTACATTAGGAACACAAATTCTACCAATGTTTGCTTCATTGGTCTCATTTTTCTTCAATTGCCCTGCATGTACCTGGTAGAATATTTTTTTGGAACTCTGCATCATGTGACAATGCATCTTGTATTCTATCCTTCAAAGTTAGTTAAATGAACATCAAATTCAATAGGGTGAAACTTTGTTTCACTGCTTATAACTGTAAATGCTCCATGACTTTAATCAACTCTTCTTACAATGTAATTAGCGAGTTAGCACAAACACTTGTCTTCCTGCTTAGCCGATTTGCTATAAATTTCTCCTTCCCCCGGTGATATTATATATACATATCTTAATCTTTGATAATCTCAAGTCATCTCTTTTGCCTCAAACTCAACTTCTTATGGGTGAAAATATACTTTAAACTTTGATGATCTGTGAATACCTCGCATCGGACGTCGTACAAGTAATGCATTCATATATTCAAATTAAATACAAACACTGCAAGCTCCAAATCATGTGTCGGATAATTCTTTTGACGATTCTTCAATTATTTATAGGCACAGGCAGTTACTTTTGCATGTTGTATATGGACACACCCAACTCCCCTTAAAGATGCATCACAATAGATTTGAAAGTTTTCTGTCCCTGAGGGGATAGTAATACTAGAGCTGTCATCAAACACATCTTTAACTTATAGAAAGCTTCTTCACAGTGATTTGTCCATTCAAATTTCATTGCTTTCAGAGTCAATATGAAAAAAGCATTGCGATATGCGAGAACCCTTTAATGAAGCTACTATAATAGCCTATCAGA